AAGTAAAAAGGGGGGGCGGTCATTTCCGGACTTATTCTAATTATCTTAAAACACTAATGGACAAAATGATAACGACATACATTTTTAATCAAATTCATTGAGTTCTTTGTTGGAAATGAGAGCGTAAGAGAAAGATCAAGAGCTAAGCTTAATATTTTACTTAACTAAATGGACTGTATACTGTAGCTGAGTGTATGCTGTATAAAGTTTTATTTATATGTATTAAAAAATAAATTGAGTTGGAAGCTGTTATTCATCTCAAATCAGTTCCATGAATAAAGAAATGAAGCCGGATAGTAAATGAACCTAGGTTCAGTGTAATGATGGGACCCGGATACATGAACCTAGGTTCAGTGTAAATGCTTGGACCCGGATACATGAACCTAGGTTCAGTGTAAATGCTTGGACCCAGATATATGAACCTAGCTAGGTTCAGTTCATGCTTGGACCCGGATACATGAACCTAGGTTCAGTGTAATGCTTCGACCCGGATATTTGAACCTAGGTTCAGTTCATGCTTGGACCCAGATACATGAACCTAGGTTCAGTGCAATGATTGGACCCGAATACATGAACCTAGGTTCAGTGCAATGATTGGACCCGGATACATGAACCTAGGTGCAGTGCAATGCTTGGACCCGGATACATGAACCTAGGTTCAGTGCAATGATGGGACCCGGATACATGAACCTATGGTTCCAGGATTACTGAAGCATTAAATGAACTTGACATAGAAACTACACTAGTTAAAACTGATTACAGTTAGAGAAACAATTCAATTTTAAAAAAATCGAAGAGAAAATCTTATAAAACTCTTTCAATATTAGGAGCTAAACTGAACATTTTTTAAATATATGCTCAATGATTTTTTGTCTAAATTAAGTTTATAACATACAGATCTTTTCATATACAGGGTTTCTCTACAAAACGGTAATAATGCCAGAGCCTCAATCCTGCACCAATTTAAATTAAAATATTATTGTCCAAAAAATGAAAAATCTATCTAGAATTTAGACCCCATGGAATCAATTTTGTTTTTAAGAGACACAGCCCTTTTTATTTACACTTAATATTATCATTGAAATCCGTAACTAAACAGAGGGGGTTTGTTACTGTAAATATGAATAGAGTTGCCTCAAGAGAGACGTCTGAGATTGTAATTTCTGTTTGATAAATTCTTGAATATAGATTGATAATTTGTGTATTTATCAAAAATATTAACTAGATTTTAACAGTTGAGTGAGTTAAGTAAAAACAAATTTAACAACATGTTATTTGTAAGTAATTATTGAACTGATAACTCAATAATATGTTTGGTATAAGAATAACTAACAATTTTTATATGAATTCACGCGATGACATTCTTACTCTGTGACCTGCATTCAGCCTTAGATTTACAAATTAAGATTGTTTCGCAGTTTGTCAAAATACTTCACTTTAAGGAGTAAAATCATTAAAAACTCTTACAACGAATCTAAATTTACTTAAAATTCCTACACACAAATAAGTACAAAATAAATAAATGATTCTTTAAATAATATTTTTTATTCAATTTTGATGGAATTTATCACACCTAATATTTCCCGTTTAACGGTGATTAAGTGACTTTATCGCCCTACAACAGGGCGAAAAAGTAATTTTTTCACCTTGCTATTAAAATTTTAAATTTCAAACCTATTTTTTCTCATTGTAGGGTGATAAAAGTTACTTAATTACCTTACAACAGGGTGATTAAGTAACTTTGTCGACCTACTTTTAAATAATTTGAGTAAAATTGAATACAACTACGTTATGGAAATGGGTATCATGCGTGCGAAAAAGTTTTTGCTGTGATTTTTTATTGTTCGAGTTTGTTTACGATCATTTTGATCAAAACAAACTAGAAAAAATAAAAATTACAGCAAAAACTTTTTCGCACGCATGATACCCATTACAATGACATAAATAGATATTATAAATGAATAAATCGAACATTAAAACTTAAAATCCTGTTTAGAAGTATTTATTGATGAGTAACAATTTCTTAAAGACCAAGATTAATTATTTAAAGAGCTGAGTAAGTGGGAGGGTTGGGGCGGAGGGGGGGGGGGGGAGTAAAGAATTAATTCTAAAGAGGAGGAGGGGTGGGGGGCGCAGGTATATTTCAATAACAGCTGGTCCATATTACGAGTTTGACTACAACTACCGGTGAAATCTCTAAGATTAGCCATTATTTCGGGAAAGGGAAGAGCAGGGAGAAGGTGGGGTTCCGGGTTCATATTCGTAAAAATTATAGTTAAACTACTAATCCGGAAGCACACGGACAGCTAAAAAGTAAAAACTTAATTGGCAAACAGTTTCTTAGGTTTAAAGGTATTTAAATTTTGGAATAAATTAACTGTTTTTGAAAACTAATTATGTATCAAACAAAAATAAAACGTTCTTCTATTCCTACATGTTTTTGTTTTGTTTATTATAAAATTATTATATAAAAGAGTAATTTAAATAAGTGATAAATAATTACCTGAACGCATATATTGGTTCAACAATTCATTCACTGTTAAAAAGATAAAATAGTCTCACGTAAAAACAAAAACTCCTGAGTCGTAAATTTAAATTAACTTTAATTTTATTTATTAACTGTTAAACTGTTTCACTTTGATGCGCTTGGAGGTGGTTTCACTTTAGCAGGTGGAAACCGACTGATGGATCTATCTATCTACCTGCCTTTAGGACTATACCTGTACACAGGTTTAAACCCAGTACATTTATCATAGGCCTGTACAGTTCATAGGAGGGTTCGTTTTTGTAAATTTTGTACAAGGTTAGATTGTGTACAGTCTTTCCCGGCCAAATCGAATTATGTGTTTCTAATTGCAATCGCGGTTAGAATTATGTTGAATAAACCCCTTTTATTCAAAAGTTTCGCCCTTAAACTTCACAATAGCATACATTTGCAATTGTTGCACTTGTACAATGTGCAATTTTGAAAAATAGCAATAAATTATGTCACCGTCCTGTGTACATTGTATGAGGCGCCACTTGGGTATATCATTAATTATAACGCTGGGTTCTCATTCTCAAGCTAGTTGCTATATAAAGTTATAACGCTGGGTTCTCAAGCTAGTTGCTATATAAAGTTGTAACGCTGGGTTCTCAAGCTAGTTGCTATATAAAATTATAACGCTGGGTTCTCAAGCTAGTTGCTATGAAAAGTTATAGCGCTGGGTTCTCAAGCTAGTTGCTATGTAAAGTTGTAACGCTGGGTTCTCAAGCTATAGTTGCTATATGAAGTTATAACGCTGGGTTCTCAAGCTAGTTGCTATATAAAGTTATAACGCTTGATTCTCAAGCTAGTTGCTATATAAAGTTATAACGCTTGGTTCTCAAGCTATATAAAGTTATTTTATCCATATTCATTTTGTCACTGTATTAAACTAAACTATAATTCTAGAGTAATTCTTTATCGATCAGATTCTTGGAAGTTATAAGTTTTCATTTAACAGGTCTGAGACCTAAACTAATGTATCTTGTAAATTCAGGGGACATCAGTTCCAAAACTAACATTTGGCTCATTTCTAACTTGGAATATGTTTACGAGTTGCAACATGCAAAAATGACCCCACTCACCCAATATCAAAATATCACGAGAAGGAGCTGATTCTTTGCCATGCAAAATTGTAGTTTTCTAATCCCTATATCTGTGCTATCTGATGGTGTAAACCTCAACTTCAGCTATCTTATCTAACAGAATTCATAGTTTGAAATTTCCAAGGTCTATGACATTGGGTTTCAAAGATATAGGAATAAGAAAATCAGAATTTGTCGCAAGAACTTCATTTCTCTATAAAACAAGAGTTGGAATATAATATTTTTTTTAGAAATCATCTAGTACGTGCAAGTGGTTATTAATAGTTTACTGATTGGCAGTTCAACTCTAGCTTTCCTCAAAGCAGGACCTAGGTCTTGCTTATATGTGCAAAGGGATAGCTGATATGTGAGGTTAGGTTAGGTTAAGACAATTTCTTGGCCGAGCGCTGCGGCTAGGACAGACTAGAGGGCCGGGCGCTGCAGCCACATTTATCAAATTGACAAAGGGATAGCCGATGTGTGGGGTTTGGTTAAGTTAAGACAATTTCTGGGCTGAGCGCTGCAGCTAGGACAGGCTAGAGGGCCGAGCGCTGTGACTAGGACAGGCTAAGGGGCTGAGTGCTGCAGCCACATTAATAAAATTGACAAAGTGTGCATCTGACCTACAACATGTTTGCATCCGACCTTCAAAAGTTAGGGGGCTGAGCACTGCGGCTAGGACAGGATAGGGGCCAAGCGCTGCGGTCACATTTATCAAAATTGACAAAGTGTACAACTGACTTTTAAAATGTGTGCATCCGACCCACAGATGTGGGTATGTGACCTACAAAAGTTGTGCATCCGACCTACAAAGTTGTCCATCCAACCAACAAAAGTTGTCCATCCGACCTATAAAAGTTGTCCATCCGACCTATAAAAGTTGTGCATCCGACCTGCAAAAGTTGTGCATCCGACCTTCAAAAGTTGTACATCCTCCTACTAATGTTGAACTAATCTGACCAACTAATGTTGCTCATCCGACCTAAAAAAGGTCTGCATCCAACCTACAGTTAGTGTGCAAGTGAATACACTAACTTTTTTTCAATTGAGAGAGTATCTGACATACAGTTTATCGAACCAACAGCAGCTAGAAGCTGTTAAAAAAATCCAAATGCGGGAAGGTCCGAAGTATTGTAAGACGGATGTAACGTTGGACGGATATAATACAATCGAGGAAACGAGATAATTAACAAGGAACGCCTGCATTCCTCTATCAACACTGTATTACACTTGAGAACAGAGGTTTTTTACACCTGTGGGTCTAGGCTTTCTATGGAAAAGCTCGACTTACACTCATTTGAAACAGGTCTGGTGAGCCAGTTTTTAAGTAAAACCTGCAACCCATGGGAAACATGTAAATATCCATCAACAACGAACCTTCCTAATATGGAGAAGAATCATCATTTACAAGTTCTGCCCAAGATGTTCTTAAACATCAGTTTTAAGACTCCAGTCCAAATGTTAATAATCTATTCCTAGCCAAAACTCCTAGCCATTTGTCATTATTTTTAAGTGGAGATTCTGCCATTGGGTCCCACACATTTTCAAAATTTCACGTTTAATGCAGTTTTCTTTTTTCTTTCCTCACCCTGTAACCGAGCCAGGAAAAATACACATAAATTGTGTATAGATCTAAATTTAGTATAGTTATCATTCAACAATCTACAAACCTGCCAAGCTATAACAAATATCAATTCCAGAAAACTTGCAAGGTTTATAATTTCATGATTATTCATGGGTTCAATGTCAGCAGCTGAAATATTGAATTTAGAAACATCTTTGAGCTAAACATACAATTGTAGCAAACAGAATTAAAATAGAAACAGCGATTAGCAGAATTCTGATCCGATGATGACTATTTCTAATACCAATTATTTGAAAATATCAAAAATAAATATTGGAATACTGTAATACTGTTGAAATAACTTGGTACATTTTTGTAATTATCTTTAATAAAACCTTTTTATTAATAAAAAGAAATAAATTGTGCGCACATAGTGTATATATAAAATAAAATATTTATTTTATTACAACAAATAGAGAAATATGTGCCAAAAATAATTAATTTGATTTAAAAATGTAATTTAAACATTCATTCTGTTCCGCCAAAAGAAAGGTAAAATGTAATTTATCACAGAACTTTGTTAGCACTATTTCCTTTTAAAGGTAAAACCATGAATTCATTTCTCACAGCTTCTTCCAGACTTTTCTAGCTCATTAATAGCAAACTATTATAAAACTTAGCAAAAGGAATACTTTTTTTGAAGAAAAAAAAATTCAAATTAATTATAAAAATAATTTGTATTTCATTGTAAAATATTTATTTACAATCCAATTTAATCTGCCAGCAGCTCGAATCAGCTCCAGTCTATATTTTTTAAGAATTTTAAATTTTTTAAGAACATTCTCCCTAGAAAGATAAAAGAAATCTAGAATTAAGTCAAAAAACATAATGAAATCGTTTGCCTGCCAAACCTATTTATAAATTTAGCTTGTTTGTTTGTTTGTATCCAATAATTGTCAAAATGGTTGAACCGAGCGGGCCCAATTTTTGCGTGGGACCTAACGTAACCCCAGGGAAGGTTTATGAATGATCAAAATTTAAAAAATTTGTGCTTAAAAGTTTTTTATTTTTGTAAAATTTTGAAAATGTGCGAAAAATATTATGAAATCCGCAAACTTTTTTTGTTTTTGTTTTATACTGTACAAAGAGAGGATGCTAACAGATAAAGTCACAATTAAAAGTAGAAATAGAAGATGGGCGCGAAGTGCCCGAAAAGCCAAGTGACCCTAATCTTAATAAACTACATGTTCGATTCCCAGGTGTAAACCTTTCAACCTTTATTTATGTAGAACCATGATGAAGATGTAGTCTGCTTCTATCTTGAACCGAGATAAATTCTCTCATATTATTTCCGTCTCTGCTACTGGAATATTCAAATTACACTTATAGAGACACCGTTTTAAAAAATCATCAATTTTCTGACAGAAACACAATTTCATCTCCATAATTTTTACACAGAAAAGGTTTAAGGCTACCATTGTAAATCGAGTATAACATCCTTTAAAAAGAGGGCTACTCGAAATTATGGTGACAGTTAATTCAAACCTTAGAAATTAAATTGAAACAGAAGTTAAACCAGGATTGTGCAGGATAATCCTTCAGAAAGGAACAAACTGTTGAGATATAGCAAACCTAAGTTTAGATCCCGGCTGACATTAAATAGAATAATATGGATAAAATCCTTTCCTTGAGACAAATCACAGTTCCAGTTTTGTCGGGAGCTAAACCCGAAAACCCTCTCAGCACCTAGGAATTGAATCAGGGTTAAATTTTAAGATTAAAAAATTTTTTTTACGGGGAACCCCCCCCCCCCCCCCCCCCCCCTCTTATAGAGAGTCAATACATTAAAATAGATATATTTCCCTTTTTATTTAATCCCCCGTCCTTCGCCTCTACATTGTAAAATCTAGGGTGGCGCCAGTTCCATTATCAATCACCTCAATCCAGGGTTTAGAATCCTTATCTCCAGGTGTTGGGTTGAACCATGTATCCTAAAATAAAAAATAACAATTAGGGTCAAAATTTAATTTTTTTGTATGTGTTGCATTTAGTAAACTTTCCTAATATATTCGAAAAAAATAAAACTCTTTTCAAAGACGTCCACGACATTGTTTCTAGTCGAGATATGTTTTCTGCTCCAGGTACTGGTTAATATCCTGGACTATTGGCTACCTGGAACTCTGCTCCTTAAACTGATAAATATCCTGGAATATTGGTTACCTGGAACTCTGCTCCTGAAACTGATAAATATCCTGGAATATTGGTTACCTGGAACTCTGCTCCTGGTACTGATAAATATCCTGGACTATTGGTTACCTGGAACTCTGCTCCTGAAACTGATAAATATCCTGAGCTGAGAACTTTAGAATGGATAACCTTTAATCCTGACTTCTTGATTCAAATATCCACTGTGGAAACTTTTCATTTTTGTCCTAATCCACTCTTTTTCTCTCTCCTTGGATATCCGTTAATTGTTTTCTCCAATGAGAATATTTCTGTTCTCTCATTGGTTGCCCGCTTTTCTCTGATTGGCTGCTACAGTTTCTCAGATGATTAAATATTAATTTGAATTTTATCGTTTTTCATACACTTTTAAGATAATCTTGCAAGATTATGTTAATCTTGAGATTATCAAAAAGAGAGGATCAAGCATTAATCCCGATATCCACCATTCTAAAGTTTTCAGCTCTGGACTATTGGTTACCTGGAACTCTGCTCCTGGTGCTGATAAATATCCTAGAATATTGGTTACCTGGAACTCTGCTCCTGAAACCGATAAATATCCTGGACTAATGGTTACCTGGAACTCTGCTCCTGGTGCTGATAAATATCCTGGAATATTGGTTTACCTGAAACTCTGCTCCTGGTACTGATTAATATACTGGAATATTGGTTACCTGAAACTCTGCTCCTGGTACTGGTTTATATACTTGTATATTGGTGCTCCTGGTACTGGTTAATATACTGAAATATTGGATACCTGAAACTCTGCTCCTGGTGCTGATTAATATACTGAAATATTGGTTATACCTGAAACTCTGTTCCTGGTACTGGTTAATATACTGGACTATTGTTTACCTGAAACTCTGCTCCTGGTACTGGTAAATATACTGGAATATTGGTTACCTGGAACTCTGCTCCTGGTACCGGTTTATATACTTGTATATTGGCGCTCCTGGTACTGGTTAATATACTGAAATATTGGATACCTGAAACTCTGCTCCTGATACTGGTTAATATACTTGTATATTGCAGTTACCTATAACTCTGCTCCTAGTGCTGGTATATATACTGGATTATTGGTTATACCTGAAACTGTGTTTTCTGCTCCTGGTACTGATTAATATACTGGAAGGAAACACACTGGAGAACGCTGTAGGGACACGAACTGATCTTTCTTTGAACTCTCCTAGAAAATATTTTCTTGAGTTTTCATCAAATCTTTAACAATCTTTTTAATTTTGAAGCACAACATTACGAATTCTTAAAAACAGAAACAGATTTAAAAGAAATCTGACAAAACTTACTTCTTGATAGGTGCTTTTTACAGTATTCAGAGATACATGGTGAGAGAGAGAAAATGGCAAACTAGAGAAATGTTGTAAAACCTCAAGTTTTAATTCTAACTGTGTTTATCTATATGAGTAATTGTTGATGATAAAGATATAATTGGCCTTGAATCTGGGAACTAACTGGCCTGTGTGCCCATCATTGGTTATCGGGATTCAAGGTATAACAACCCTGGGTAAAAGATCGTAGAAACATCTAAAACTTCTAGAACCAGCTAGAAGAAAACATGCACGCAAAGAATACGTGAGTCAGAGAACCTTTTTCTCAAGAAAGTTCTAGAATAAATTCTTAAGCAGCGCAAAAAACAAGCTCAACATCTTCGAGAATGTTCTAGAACAATCTATCATGGTTTACTATAAAAAGCCAAGAGAGACCCTGACTCGGGTTAGTTAGTTGGAATTTGAATCCTAGATCTTTGCTCTCAGATCTGTATTTATCGTAAAATGACCCAGTGATTTTGAAGTGTATCTTTGAAGAAACAAATTGGAAAATCTAGGTAATAAATCAATTTTTTTGTAACTATTTGTTTTGTCAATATCCGTAATTCGCATTTATCTATTCGCCCTAAACTGATTCAAAGAGGTTGAAATCCAATAGTATTAAGTAAAGATAGATATATATATATTTTGTAAAATCAGATTGTTTATACTTTTACTCAAATATTGTTATATATTAAGTTCTATATTTGTAATTATCTTATTTTTCTAACTAATCATTTATATGATTAATATTGTCAAAATTTTTCCCTTGGACTGAAATACATAGCTAAACGAAAATCTCAGTGTTAATGATATATATAAAGTAGTTAAGAAGGATTGGAAGACTCCTGAAACGGAGAGGAACAATCTCTGGGTAGGATTAAAGTTACACATTTAAAAGTTCAAACCTCAAGAACTAAACAATTGAATAACATATACTTGAGAACAAAAAGTGAAATATAGAAAGTTGGTTCATAACAAAGAAACATAAAAACTTATTCAGAAATACTTTGTCCGCCATAAAATGCGTGGCAGCCTTTAATGCAGGGCTTATTGATTAAACTATTATAACAGAATATAGGCCTCAAAACCGTTTTTGTTTAACCTTTGAATCCTGCATTATTTGCTTTTGGGCGAATCAAAGCTACTGGAATTCTTCTTTGTAAAATCTTTTATTCAAAACTTATCAGAAACTATTTGATTTATTGTCGTACTTCTTTTATTTATCTTAAACATTAAAAATAGTCAAATTGCGATTCATATCAGCAATTTTATAAAAGGTCGCTTATCATAAGAATAGGTTACACTTTTACAATGTTAGCCAGGGGTGTATATGGGGGTCCCTTGCACACAAATGGAAAAGAAAAAAACAGAACAACAAGAAACATTAAAGGCCTGCACCCTACATGGAAAAAAAAGAAAATAATAGTGCGGAGAAGGAGGGGTTTCTCTCTTTCTCTCTCTTCCTCTTCCCTCTTGCCAGAAACAATGAAAATGGAAATATAGAAAATAGAATCCTGATAGCCATTCACTATGTTACCGGTGTTATACTCTGCGGCTGCAAGGAAAAGATTGCTGTAGACCAGGCTGTGCTGTATTCGAAGCACTGTGTCCGAGGTGAACTTACAAGAATCAAGAATTCTTTTGTCGAAAAACTTCACTCCTAGCCTAACCTTTCTTATCCCATTTGACATTATTAAAGTGGAATTCTGGCAAAAAATATCATCAGAAATTATAAACCCTGCTTGGTGTAGTGTGACTTTTATTTTTCCAACCTGTAAGAATATTGAGGAAATTGTGTTTGAAGCTAACCTTCAACAGTTGTTGAGTCAGACATTACTGAAAACTGCAAATACAGCCAAGATATCAAATTAAAGAATAGTATGCACCAGAAATATGTGTAAAAATGCATAATTCCCTTGTCTACAAGATACTAGAATGCGTAGATCTAAAAGAGAAGAACAGGGAACAGATGTATGATGTATGTAAAAAGAAGATACAACAGTCGGAGATAAAAAAATTTACTGCTTTTTTAAAATTTTGTTAAATAATTTTAATTTAAAAATACATAGTTAAAAAAAATATTTTTAAACATAAAAAAAACGCTTTAGTTTATTTATTTCGGAACTTATTTTAAATTTGTCACTCAGAACGTAAATGTGTTCTGGACAGTGGACAAAATATTTTTTATTACAATCGTCTATAATGTCGATAGTTTGCAATTAAACAGGAAACGTATGCTATCAAATATGAAATCAATCCAATCAATGTTTAAAACGAATTTGTTGAATCACCTGAAAAATTTATAAATAAGATCTGACACTTTAACACAGTTCCCTGACTGATCCATACAACAGGAACTACAGGAACCAATACAGCTAAACACATTTTTATTATTTTTTTTATTTTCGAAGGGATTAAAAAAATACTTTGAACAATGCCAATATTAAATTTAAAGCGGGAACTATGGAATATGAAGACGACATTTAAGCAACATTTTATGCTTTAAAAAATATAGTTTTCCCAACTGCTAGAATTAACGTTTTAAGTTAAATTGGTTCTGCACTATATGCTGTGTATTATGTTCATTGGACTATTCATATCATAACTATTCTCTTCCCATTCCACAGTTCCACAAGGTCCTAATGTATGAATTACTAAAATAAATTTCAGCTTTTTTTTTTGGAGAATCAAAAAATTTATTCATGCCAACAAATCAAACTAAACATTTTGCTTTTTTACTGTCTGAAAAAATGAGAACTTGATGAATTACAATATCGGAAAGTTGTAAAAGTAATTTCTTGACCTTGTTGCTTGGAGTGAAATTATACAGAAACAGCAAATAAAGCAGAAATTACAAAAATGTGTGAAATATTACACTTGTAAATATTTTGAAATCCAAGTTTATTTTAATATGCTTTTAGGGCGCTTTGCGCCACTCTTCTATTTCAATTGTGAACATTTCTTTTTATATAAATACAAAATAAATTTAAAAATTCAATGGAAATACAATTTTTGAAATTTTGATAATCTGTAAACCTTTTCTGGGGACATGTGAAGTCCCACACAAAATTTGAACCCAATCGGTTCAGGCGTTTTGACGTTTATTGGAAACAAAGAAACAAACAAACAGACAAGCAAAGTATATAGATAGACGAGCGAAGAGCTTTATTATTAAAGTTAGTATTACCTACAGCCCTGTAATCCAAGGATACTGCAAACCTTTCTCATAGAATCACTCTGCTGTTCATTCATAGAGTTCAGATTTATCATATATTTCCTTCGGCGTTTTTCTGGTTTATTTAAACTTCTGGAGAATTTGTTTTGTTTTCTCCTGAACCCTCTCCTACTGGTCAGTTTACTTCCAACAAAATATTATTTACTTGATGTCCAGTCAACTGTTGGTTTAAAAACAAAGCAGAGGAAAATGCTAAAACTTCTGAAAGAAGTGAGTTTTTGCCAAAAACTCTGATCTTCTAATCATTACATCTGTGTTATAAAACCTTAGATATTTCAAACTATGAAATCTGTTAGATCCAAAAATATAATTTTGAAATTTCATAAGTTTACACAAAAGATATAAGGATTAAAAATGTGAGTTTGTGGCAAAAACTTTATCTTTTTTTTATAGGGTGACTTTAAAAATCAGTTTTATGATTTTTAAGACCATTAAATCTTTAAACATTTTTGAACGATTTCTTTTGAAAAAAAACGACATAATCCAAACATCAATTCATTAAAACTGTAAATCAAACGCTCGTTGAACGAACGTAATCATTGATATACATCTGGTAGATATTTTGTTCCTGTAAGGTTTATGTTGGGTAGAAAACAGCTCTGTTTCTGATAATTCAGTCTGGTATAGAGAAGTTCTTTGAATTTTATAATTTTGACTAAATCCGGGGGGGTTAATAGTTCTCTACCTGTGTGCTCAGTTAGCTGTACACTTAAAACTGTTTACTAATATTGATATTATAGGTTAGGCAAGAATCAACTTATAATAAACAAATATGCAGTACGCTCTCGGTATTGTTTATGGCCTATAAAAATAATATAGTAAAGGATTAGCGTACATCATCAGTCATCACTCTATACACTATAAGCTCTTTGGACTTAATACAATGGTTCACATGGGAAATAGACTAGTAAGACAGGCATTTAGTTTTTAGGTACCCACACAACCCCATTATACTTATGATACATAATTCAAGCAGGAATTCAGGTCGATCGATGTGTGTAAACAAATTGTGTACTGCAAGTTCTGGGCGGAATGTAAACAATTTCAGTTGCATTTCTTTGATTTATCTTCGCAGGAACCAAGGAGAATTGAATACAAGGAGTGGGCAATAGGGTTTCCGTACACTTTGCTGTGACGTTTTTGGACTGCTGGAGAACTAGTTGTTGCGTAACAACAATAATAAAGGCAGCCGATCTACTGTAAACAAACATGAGTTAGTATACGGTGAATCTTCATCTAACGCCAGAGATGCACCAAATGTCTGTTTATCATTTGTGTTATTGTTTACAATCTTTATTATTGTTGTTACGCAAAAAGTAGTTCTCCAGCAGTCCAAAAACGTCACAGTAAAGTGTACGGAAACCCTATTGCCCACTCCTTGTATTCAATTTTCCTTGGAAGGAACAAACATTGAAGTATACCAACATCTTTGTGGCCTTGTGAAGTAAAAACTTATAGATGGGACGGAATCATAGAGAATAGAATATATAGAGAGGAATTAAAAGAATCTCTCGGTATGATTTTTTTCAGTCCCTTTCAGCCTGAAAGGGAGTTCAAAGTGTACAAATCATGTAAATGTTCACAAATTATATGCAGTAGAGTACATTAATAAAGTATGTTCCCTAGACTATTCATTTCAATTTTGAATTTTTTAAAATAAACTTTATAATGAATTAGGGGAATAAAAAACATCATTTGATTTATAGTTATAACGGAAAATCATTGTTTGTAAAGTGAAAGGCATAGAGTCTATGTGAAATCATCATTGGTCAATTATGAAACCAGCCTATTTCATAATTTGGTTTTCTTTTAAAAATAATTTTAGATTTTCAATAAAATGATATTCCAGGGCCCAACAGGTTATATAGCATGCATATGTGAAGTACACCTGCAGTATGGAAACAGTACAACAAAATGGCCGTTTTACACTTTTTTCTAGTAAATTCCTCTCTATATATTCTATTCTCTATGGACGGAATAAGATCAAAGATAGATTTAACCAACGGAAGATTAGCTGATCTCCCTGCGAAGGAAGAATGATTAAAACTCGTTCAGTCCATTTAAAAGTTTTCAGCGCAAAGCAAATAGTTTTGTAGTTGCTTCAAAATTAGCTTACTAAATTAATGGATTAAAAATATTTTTGGAAACTTTTTGTTTCAGCCAAAGCTTTTTTTCCGACCCGATCGGTTCAGCCGTTTTGACGTTAATTAAATAGACAGACAAGCTACAGGAATTGAGTTTTAACAACAAACTCTGATTTTAAAATCTCTATGTCTTTGTAACCAAATGTGCGTGGACTTTTGATATTTCAAACTATTAATTCTCTTAGATCAAATAATCTAATTCTGAAATATCAAACGTTTGCACCATCAGATTGCTAAGATATAAGGATTATAAATTTGAGTTTGTGTCAAAAACTCAATTCAATTATACATTTAGATATATCTTGCCATATATTTTCTGTTTTAAATGAAATCCCGATGTATTTTATTTAGGATTTAAATAAATATAAAGATCTTCTCCCTTGTTTCTGCATTCTGTAATCCTTCTCCTCCATCTACACTCCTCCTCCCCTCTTCTTAATCCTGAATAATACATTCTTTAATCCTTCTCCTCCATCTACACTCCTCCTCCCCTCTTCTTAATCCTGAATAATACATTCTTGAATCCTTCTCCTCCATCTACACTCCTCCTCCACTCTTCTTAATCCTGAATAATACATTCTTTAATCCTTCTCCTCCATTTACACTCCTCCTCCCCTCTTCTTAATCCTGAATAATACATTCTTTAATCCTTCTCCTCCATCTACACTCCTTCTCCCCTCATCTTAATCCTTAATATAATTCTTTAATCCTTCTCCTCCATTTATACTCCTCCTCCTCTCTTCTTAATCCTTAATAATACATTCTTTAATCCTTCTCTTCCATTTACAATTCTCCTCTCCTCATCTTAATCCTTAATAATACATTCTTTAATCATTCTCCCCCATTTACACTCCTCCTCCCCTCTTCTTAATCCTTAATAATACATTCTTTAATCCTTCTCCTCCATTTACTCTCCTCCTCCCTTCTTCTTAATCCTTAATAATACATTCTTTAATCCTTTTCCTCCATTTACACTCCTCCTGCCCTCTTATTAATCCTTAATGATACAGGGTTACTCAAAAAGGTTGAGGCTGTAAAGACGAATTAAAACTCTTTCAATTATTGAGCAAAGAAAAAAAAAAATTTACATTTGCAGGAATCATAAAGGAAGCAGTTTCATCCTTTTGTATAACCTGGCGGGTTTACAGTTTATAAGTACACTAAGAAGAAAATTTTGATGCAAATTATATTGAAATTAAAGCCTTTAAACTTCATGGGACAGCAATAATATCTCTATTTAACGAGGTGCATGCCATATTGACAAGATACCCTTAAAACATTAATCTGACCATTAATGATTTGAAAGATCTATCATCGTTTTTATAGCTTGACAAGTGTTTAAACCAGTTAATTAGTTAAAGGAATAAATGCAAGTCAGTTTGTAGACACATCATCAGTTTTCAAAATTAAATTATGAATCTATTTAGATCCTGATTACTCTCTTTGCTTGGTATTGAATATATATATTAGGCATTTGAGATTCTAGTCCGGAAATCTCTATCTTTTTATATCTTGTTGTATTTATTCCTTATTTACATACGTAATCAACTTTATACGAACCTGGTGGAGTACAGCAGCTCCGCTCTTTTAAACAGTTCGCCACACCCCCACAATCACATTCTTCCCCTTCATCCACTCTACCATCCCCACAGTATCCTAGATATAATATATTTATCCACTCTATCATCCCTACAGTATCCAAGATATAATATATTCATCCACTCTACCACCCCCACAGTACACTAGATATAATATATTCATCCTACCATCCCCACAGTATCCTAGATATAATATATTCATCCTAACATCCCCACAGTATCCTAGATATAATATATTCATCAACTCTACCATCCCCACAGTATACTAAATATAATATTGTTGTCGCAAAGGAACAAGATTCTGACGATGAACAGATAGACAAGGTATAATCCACGAATCAAAATCGATAATGCAGAAAACTCTTTATTTCCTAAAAAAAATAACGAAATGAATAATGATAAATAATTATTACAGGGTTTACAAATTTATAATGAAAAGATTCTTACGATCTATTTTCCTATTCGTGAGACTATCTGTCGAAAAGTCCGAAGACGCTTTTTATACATTAAAACTTCTGAAAAGATTGACAATTAAATGTTGATGAAAGTCACTAATTCTTTAAATAGAAATGTTTTTGTTTAACTTTGAAATGG